TTTTTTTTTGTTATTATACAATAATTTATTGTTAAATTATTGGTTATGAAATAATTTAATGTAAAATAAGGTAATGTGAAATAAGGTATTGTTAAATAAGGTATTGTTAAATAAGGTATTGTTAAATAAGGTATTGTTAAATAAGGTATTGTTAAATAAGGTATTGTTAAATAAGGTAAATAAGGTGTTAAATAAGGTAAATAAGGAAGTACTCCTCGGTATCTTTCGTTTGTATGGGTATATAAGAGGGTGTCATCCACCGACATAAAAGTTAGAACAACCTTCAACAAAGCAGTTGGAAATAAAAGTGTTGGGAGATACGTTGAGGGGCAAAGGTAGGTGGTGCGCCTCCTCTTAGTAAGTGGTCTACAGCTCTCCCTCTCAACTTAATAGTAATAAAGACAAATATTGTAATTTATCTCTGATAAGTTACTTGAATGTCCGCCCTTTCCTCCCAAACAATGTTGCAAGAAACAATGTTGCATTTTGTTAACACCAGGCAATATTGAAGTGGGGAGAGGAGGAACTAAATGAGAGTCATTGTACAGCATCATTAACTTAGAAGCAATATTGCGTTATAAAGATGACATGATTTAATTTTTTAATTTCAGATTTTACCCATTACCATTCCCAGCAGCGTCCCAGCCTAGTGCGAGAGTGGTGTCTACACAAGTCCTTAATGAGAGGATGAAAGAAATGAGTGAAAGGATTGAAGCTATGGATCAAATCACACAGAACATGGATAGAGAATTCAAGAGCTCGCGCGTGGTAAGATTTCCCATGATTTGTTTTAACAAGTACTTAGAACGAGCTCTTTTGAAGAGGGGAAAGTACCCGTCTGGCTTTTGAAAGTAGGAGGCCTCTCGTACAGGTGTGAACTCGATTGAGGAGAAACAACCTCCTTAGTGTATCCTCGACTGGAAGTCGTGTTGTCAACTTATTTTATCAATATCGTGTTTTACTAAATACCCTCCACTGCTTTACCTCTCACGTTAAACCTCACTGTCAGATACAATTTTCATTTGTTTGTTTGTTTTATTTCTTTTAGCTTCTCTCTGCTATTCAAAGGATTGATGAAGTACTAAACCCATCATCAAGAGCATCATCTGCTGAAGCGATGTCTTCAAGAGGATCTTCAGATTCGCGTAGGGAAAAGCCTCGAAGGTGGGGCAACACTGCCCCTTGGAGAAAGGGGACAAAGGCTCCAACTGAAAAACAACCAACTACAGTGGTGTCACATTCAGAAGGTATACTATCATGAGTGTCGCTCACGAACTGAAAATTTAGTATTATTATAATGATAATAATAATAATAATAATAATGAATTAATAATAATAATAATAATTATTATTATTATTATTATTATTATATGGCAGTTAATTTTTCTGGATGCCCAGATGTCCTAAACAATGATTGGGCGGCTAGCCGCAACCAATCAATGCAACGACCAAAGTCCTTACAATTAAAATTCCGATAGCAATTCCTAATTATGAAACGTCTTAAACTTAGCTATGTAATAAAATCCTCAGTTAAAATACGAAAGGTTCCATACGTCGCTATCGAAACGCTTAAATGTAATAAAACATCTAATATCCTTTATTTCAATCTTAAAGCGCCTCGCCATATTGAGTGAACTATGGCAATTCCTAATCATAAAGGCCTTAGTCCTAAACGTAGTTACTATTTATTAAAATCCTCAATCTAAATACTAAAAGTTCTATAACATCACTATGATACTGCTTAAGTGTGACAAAACATCTAATATCCCTTATCTCAAATTCTTAAAACGCCTCGCAGTATTGAGTGAACTTGTAATGACTGACTTCTGTATCTGCAGAGCTGTTGTGTCGCTCTCATCTCCCACTAGCTCTTTAAGTGCCTTTCTAACATTTCTTGAATAACCTCCGAGTACACCCACAACAATGTTGTATTGTGTCACCCGATAATCAGGGTATCTCTGTTCAAGTTCCCAGCGGAGTGGCCCATACTTTGCTGTTTTTTCGGCAGCTCTCTCCTACCTGTTTTCTACATGCGTGCCATCTGCGTAAAGGGGAATGTCCCAATATGCTATTGCCTTCTCGTTCTCATACACAGGCTTTGGCTGGGTCTACGAAAACCACGGAACCTCTGATGTAACTAGATTATCATTATTATTATTATTATTATTATTATTATTATTATTATTATTATTATTATTATTATTATTATTATTATTATCATTATTTGATCACTCGTTTAATTAATTTCTTCGGGATTGAGCCGTTTTTATACAAGCACGTCATTTGGAAAGTCTTTTTTGGCAGTAAATGGAAAAAGGTTAAATTTTTTCATAAATAATTTTTTTTAATAATTTGTTTCTTAGATTGTCTTTGGTCAGTTACATTACTGCCGTCTTGTCAATGGTTACTGCTAACGTTGAACTGTTTTTTTTTTTGGTGTCTTGATAAGATATCGAAGACAGCATTGATGTCCACGCGGACCTTGCAGATAAAACAGAGGACAAAGCTTCCGAAGTTGATGTTAAGGATGAAGATGAAGATGTTAAGGATGAAGATGAAGAACAACTTAGAAGTAGAGAAGATGAACAGGAAAACGAGGAAAGCCTCCACCAGGAGGAACAAGACGAGGATTTGAAAGTTGCTTCTGGTGACAGTGAAGACATACTGTCAAATCAAGAAGAAGAAGATGAATCCAAACCTGAGCATCCACAGAATTTTCAACCTGAAGTAGAAGCATCTGTCGAGAGGAGTAATGTTCTCTTATCCACGCGACATGATGAAGTGAGGTAAATGCATCTGAAGATTACTTCATTCTAAGTACAAGTCGGTTTACCATTTTTTACTCCAAAGATCTGATTGGCGGTTTTTCCTTCTTTCTGCAAAACACCTCTTTGTAGATTTAGATGCATTTAATAGTTAATAATAAATGACAGAATAATGGGGTCAAGGGAAATTGGGTCTAGTTCGATATACCGGAAAGGTTCGAGTTAGCGGGGTCCTACTGTATGTCCGTATGGACTCGTGAGCAGAAGTATCTGTTTTTATTTGCTACGCTTAGGAGAGAAAAGCCCCCACTGTCGTCTCAGCTGAAGTCAGTGACATTATCACAAGAAAAGCTGAAAGAGATATTCCAAGTCAAAGATACGACACGAAGTCGGTAGGTTCAGTGATCAACTTCGTGACATTTTTCCTAGGATGAAGCTAAAGGATTATGTATCTTGAGATACTTTCGTCATTTGTAATTTGTAATCGTTAGTTTCGTCTGTAGAATCTTAACATTCTTGGACTTGTTAGAAAGACATTAAGAACATAAAGACTTGTTATTGGTATCAGAACTTATTGCTGTTATTATTTGTTATTATCATTATTATTATCATTATCGTTATCATTATCATTATCAATATTATTATCATCACTATTATCATTATTATTGACATTATTGTTATTATTATATTATTCAGCAGGGACCCCAGCCCCGATGCCAGGCAACATCTGAAAGAATGGATGAACCAAAAACGTTCAGAGAGAAAAGCGGAGTGGAGAGGTCAGCAGGAAGAGCTGAGAGCGCAGGAACATCAACCATTTATGTCTCCCACACAGGTACCTATAAACGAGTTATGGAGGTGACGAAATGGGGAAGGGGGGAGGAGGGATTGGGTAACCTGTGACTTAATGAGAGAGTTTTCAATCTCCGAAGCCCTGTCTGTGCAAGTTTTAAGCCTTGTAGTATTTGAAACTTTACTATAAACGCATTCCTCGTTCCCAGGGCTCTACAACTTTTAAAAAGATCAAGTTGATGAACAAGGAGAGAAGCGCGAAACGCAGGTACGAAATCGACTCACTGTCTTTCATTCTGCTGGACTCTGTCTCGCATTAACCGTGAAAGTGGAACAAGTGCACTAACGCAGCCAGTTTTGAATGGAGTTTAGTTGTTGTAATGATAAGGCCAGTTTTCTAAAAGCGATTTGGTCACACATCAATTTGATTTCTCTTCAAAAAAAGTTTACATTAGGGGTCAACCCATTCTCCCCCCACTCCCTCTCGCCCCTCTCCCTCTCCCCCCACTCCCTCTACCAATTGCAAACTGCCACTTTCACCGGGAAGCAACATTGTTTGCGGAAAAGGGTACAACCGCGTTGATATTTTATATATATATTTTTGTTTTTGTGTTAAAAATTAGGAGAGGCACCCCAAACATGTTGACGAATGCTTCTTAATCTGTGGCTTTTGAACAAACCAGCCCAGGAGCTTTCGCCCTCACTCATATTTTATAATCAATTCACAGGAAAAACGAAGACCAGTATAAACAGCAAAGGATGGAATCTGCATCCAATCTTCTCTCTGAGATGCTGGCCGAGCCAGTTCCCAAGCCCACGGATCGTAAACCAAACCTTCGTTACGCCGGAAGTGCGAACACGCGCTACTCAACTTCACTTGCAGAGAAAAAGAAGCGGGCAAGCGATCGATACAAAAATTTGCCGAAAGCTCCATCAAGAGGTAAACGGGTGCGACAAGATTACGTGGAGAAACCAGTGACCAAGGAAGAGAATCGCATGCATGTGAAACAATATAAAGCTGACTCGCCGCATTCTGAAGATTTCTCAAGGAAAGCTCAGACCTCAGTTAGATCTCAAAATACTCCTGGGCGGGATTTTATACGGACAAGCAGCCCATCTGTTCCAGTTCGGCAAAACGTGTCAGATTTGCAAGAAGGAAATATTTATGTTAACAGTGGTAAATTAATCGAAGAAAATTTACCTGTCGACGACGATTTTTGGCGATCGAAATCTCCGACTGGAGCCGAATTTGTGACGACACAAACCTATCGGAACTTTGCAAGGAATCAACCAAAGAGGGTTAAAGCTAGAGAAGCATCTATGCGCAAACTTACCCTAGAGGGAATAAGTGGATATGGCTTGTCGCATCAGACCCAAGGCACAGATCGTTTGGGGAGAACATTTTCCAGGACACACCAGACTGACCCTCTCCTCCCTGGGGGTAGAACATTAGCCGAGATAGATCGTCTTATAGAGGACATACCAGATGATGGCTTCACTATGGATCAGGAGAGGATTGAGGGAATAGAGAGCTTGTTAGAAGGTGATGATGAACTGAGGGAGTTGTTGTCCGATGTTAACTGGCGCGCTGATGCCAAGGTACTGTAAACTGTTTCACTCAGGGGGTAGCATATGTTATTACACGACTCGGGCAGTCAGAGGGCCAATAACTAAAATCAACCAATCAAAATGCTCTATTGCCGGTCCAATATTCTCTAAGTATTGGACCGGGCACTGTCCCGAATGGTCCCGAATGATACCGCACTTGTGTCCCTTTGAACTTCAGTCGTATAATAAATCTCTTATTAACCAAGCTTGCTCGGGACCGTACTGGAAGAATATCGGCCCTCGGTCTTTTTTGTACGGACCTCGCTGCGCTCGGTCCGTACTGTCAAGACCTCGGGCCGATATTCTCCCAGTACGGCCCTCGCGCTTGGTTAATAAGATATATNGACACCATACGCACTAGGTCTGTGGCTGACACCGTGCGCACTAGGTCTGTGGCTGACACCGTGCGCACTAGGTCTGTGGCTGACACCGTGCGCACTAGGTCTGTGGCTGACACCGTGCGCACTAGGTCTGTGGCTGACACCGTGCGCACTAGGTCTGTGGCTGACACCGTGCGCACTAGGTCTGTGGCTGACACCGTGCAGACTTGGTCTGTGGCTGACACCGTGCAGACTTGGTCTGCGGCTGACACCATGCGCACTGGGTCTGTGGCTGACACCGTGCGCACTGGGTCTGTGATTGACACCATGCGCACTGGGTCTGTGGCTGACACCGTGCACACTAGGTCTGTGGCTGACACCGTGCACACTAGGTCTGTGATTGACGCCGTGCACACTAGGTCTGTTGCTGACACCGTGCACACTAGGTCTGGGGTTGACAATGCAGGAGCTTATCCAATCCTCCATCGTATGAGGCCATCAAGAGTATTGCCACCCCCATACTCTTGTTGAGTCGAGTTTTTTCCATCACTGTTTCCACTCCCTCCCCCATCCCTACCTCTAGCATTAATTAGGTTTCCCTTAAAAGTCACTGGCACCCTTTTGCACCCTTGGGTGGAGAGCAGCACTGTGAGAGTTTCATCGGTCCGAGAAATCATTACTCGAACGGACAGTGACATCAGGAGTCGAGCGCGCTAACTAAGAAGTCTCCCCTCCTTTGGTCGGGCTAGCCCCTGTAGTATCACTCAGAAGGCACTCGCTAGCCCCGGCAGTGTCACTCAAAGGCACTCGTTACTCGTCGGCCCTCTAAGACTGAGCACTTGACGTCCTTACGAGATACATACATACGTTAGTACATACATACATACGTTAGTTGACCACCCCCCATGGTGGCTTTTCATGGCCAATTCCCACCCATCCCACCTCAGGGGAGGACATCCACAACACAGCAACTTCGTGCGTGGGAAATTAACGTCTCTTACCCCTAACCCTGCAGGAGACGGGGCCTACGGTTTATTCGTCCTTATCCGAGAAGACTAGAATATCTATCCATTTCTTGATTATAGAAAGGTAGCAAATTCTCCTCACTTAATTTAAGACCATGAGTATTTTTCCGGCCGGGATGGTGGATACAAATTAAAATTAGAGTCATTCCAAATTTGTTTTCTTCTTCTTTTGTAAAAGAAGATTCCTCCTGTGTGCACGATTTATTATCCTAGCCATAGACATTTATTCTTGGTTTTATCAGCTTATTCCTCATCTTTCTTTTGTTTCTTTTTTTTTTTTTCAGATAAATGGCGAAGTACTGAACATCGGGTCAACAAACCTCGGAATACTGAACCTGCGGTTCCCAACGGAGAAAGACAATTGCCAGAGTTTGACGGTGACATCAGCCCGTGGAATACTAGAGAGAGCATGCGCACGTCTGAGGATGTTGCACAGCTTTTGGTAAGTTATGAAAGTCGTTATACGTCTTATTCTTTGAAATTAAAAGAGTTAGTAACTAGTCTACGCAGCTTACAAGATAAGCTGGTGATAGCTTCTACTCATTTTGGTTGTTGAAATATCAGTCATTGTCATAGTTAACAGTTCCTTTTGAGGATAACCATCATCCGAAAGGTTAGAAATATGACCGGCCATGAAAAATAATTAATCTTTCTGTAATCGCAAGATGATTGGTAACTAAGGGGTTGTTGACATTCGCTGTTGTACGAGTTTCTGCCCACAGCAACCCCTTTGAGAAATGGTGTCTCTTTCCCTCCTCCAAGAAAATCGGTAATAATTTGTGTATCAACAGTAAGTAATTTTACATGAGATTTGTTGGCCTCTTCAAGAAGTCCACAAAAATGTGGAATCTTCTTCAGAAGATCACTTTTGCCAAACGCGGAAAAACAGGATGACTAAGTTGCATCTGGTCAAGTTTTGCTTCTGATTGGTTCATTCTTTGAGTTCTTGCAACTTATCAGCCAATCACTGAGCTTATTGGAAACAAATTTTATTCCAGGCCGAAGTGGACGAGGCTGTGGGTAATATGTCTGAGAGTAGTGGCAGTGTCAGAAGTCACATTGACTGGGAGGAAGTGGACAAAATCATGGGAGAAACGTAAAACTTAAGAAATTATACTTTTGCATCTGTAAATAGAGAAAAATTCGTAAAATAATAGGTAGAAATAAATTGTTAGAATCTACTAAAAAAAAAAAAACAAATAGATGTGGAAAATACGGATTTAATTTTGTTTTATAATATAAGCAAAGTAAAGCGCGCGCTCTGATTCGTCAACTCAAGAAGCTAGAGTCGCTCTCGGCTATCGCCTCGAGCGACTCTTACGCTTCTTTCGTGCTTAGCGACCTCCCGCGTGCATCCAAAACTCAATAGTGTACGCTGTGGTGTTTACCGTTCGTTAATTCTGTAACACAAAAGTCGTAAGTAAGGAACGAGTGCTTAATGTGTATATTTATGGATTACTGTTTAATTATAAAAAAGCACAATGTATACATTTTTCCCGGTTTTATACAACGCTACAAACAAGAAACCAATCCACGTAATAACCCCCAAATCTATGGAAATTTTATTACAAAATGATCCCACAAAGGGGAAGATAAGACTTGATCATGATCAAGTAATTTAGTGTTCAATGTTAAAAGGCAAACCAGTAATAAATAATTATTAACTGAGACCATTCCATAGAAAATTCTATGAGCAAAGAAGTCAATCATAACAACTGTGTTGATATGTGTCAAAACAGCAAAGTTTTCGCTATGCAGACATTACATTTCCATCGCAAAAATGATTAAAGACAATAGCAAGTTCGTAATAATTCTGGCAGAGTTATTTTCACCTTCGTTTTATTTTTCTTCCACCTTTGACAGCCATGATACCTTGCTATTCATAACGGCTTCCGATTCACCGGAGTAGTCCATAGCAATAGTTCATTATCACGGTTTTCAACTAGTCACTTAATTGTTGAAAACCATCAGTTCTGAAGTAAAATACTCAGAAATATATCTCAAGTAATGAATTCATTCCAGAGTGTCATAGCAAGTGTTATCGTTCCTGAATCTCAGCTGCAGGAATGAGTCCATCCACACTGGGCTGAGTGTGGCAGTCTGTTTCACGCGTTTTGCATTGGAATACAATAGTCTCTTCAATAGAACTTGACCCTAAAAAAGAGATAATATGGATCTAGAGGTCATACAAATTGGGGGGGGGGGAACAAAGTTAAGCAAACTCATGATCTTTGTTGAAATGCCATAAGGCACACTTTAATTCGGTAATTTTAGTCTTATCAACTAAGTTTTATGAAGTAAATTAGCCAACGTAAAGAGTTTCAAAGCTAAAGCTAGCTTTGAAACTCTTTATGGTGGCTAATTTACTTTATCAACGTAGTTGGTAAAACCCAAAGTTACCTTGTTATTTCCGCCGACGCAGCACCACAGTTTCTTTAAAACTTAGTCTCTTTATATTCGCTCAGTTTCTGAAGCTTATCCCGATTTTTGTAAGTGAATGATTCTTTGGAGTATTGCTTCGCTTTTGTGATAGGACAATGGCCTGTTGAGGGGCATTGCCTGGGGTATAGTTAGCTTTGCTTGTCATTTTTTCGGCTTGGTAACCATTCATCCTGATGGGTAGGCACAAAGAGAATCACGTGACTTACCCGGTAGCGTAACATGCGGCCAGGATTTGAACACGACTTTTGACAGGAAGAGCAAAATACTTTACCGACCAAAACAAAACAGCTGTTCTCCCTCCAGAGATTTACTTTCAGAATTGTAACCACAGCACACACACCTTAGTTTCTTACCTCTTCTGTAACATGCAGCATGGGACTTTCTTTTCTGTCCGCCATCTCTTGTTTTAAGAGCTCTCTGTATTTTACAGCAGTAGCTGTAGTAGCAGTTTTGTTCCCCTCTAGAGGAAAGGGTATCACACTATGGTCACAGAAGAGAACTTTCGCCAATGGGACCTGTTTGTGACAGTACATGTTTTGCACGACAATGGTGAAGTTTGGCGGACTATCTTCTGCATCACGTGACTCGTGAATTTTGAAACAATTTTTACTCTGCCGAGTGAGACAAAAGAAAGACTTGAAATTCAGCCTGATAAGTAAAAGCTTAGACTTGTTCAAGAGAAGATAATGGAGCTATTATTTTCTTGGGCTGTGTATTTTCGGCCTTCAAGACAATTCCCACTATCAGAGAGATTTAGCACCGCGTTTACGTGAAACGTGGACGATAAGAGTGACCACGTGACCTTGTTTTCCTATCTTTTTTAACGTTTGCCAGTTGCGCTTTGCCGTTTCTACGTGAAAGTAAACTGTTTCGCGTTTACGGTGTACGAAAGGTTTTCTTCACTTTTTTCTCTCACAGGGTTAGAAGTTGATTGCCGGAACTTTGTAAGGCATATAGGGGCGCCTCCAAATCTATCGTGACGTGACCTCACGCGGAGCTAAAGCTGTTAGGTTTACGCTATTTTACGTCAAATTTGAAAGGCCAATCTGACGTTTGCCGTTTCATGTAAACGCGATGCTAAATCTCTCTATTACTCAATAAGCCTTACATTTAGGTCACAGTTTTAACCCTTCAAACCCAGAGTTACTAACATCTAGTTTCTCATATTAAAATACAGTGAAAACGTTCTCCGGCCAAAAGTTTTATAAAAAATAAGCTTTCGGCTGTCGATCTACAGCCTTCCACAGATAAAACATGAAATGTAAATTAGTAAAATATATACAAAAAGCGAGATAAAGGTGATAAGGAGAACAAAGTAAAAATATGGAAAGGGTGGCTATTGTTTAAAAAGAATGCTATACTGATTAGGAATCAGAGTTATTGTCCGCATTCTTGATAGAAGAGGTGTGCCAAGCCTCAAGAGTTTTTCTAATACGAAAAGAGCCTTTGTCGATAACTCGAGAATGATTGAAATCAATGCGATGATCAAATGACCACGCATGTTTCGCAATGTTTGAACCATTAGCACATGTTTTCTAAAACTTTTGGCCAGAGAACGTTTTCACTGTATTTTAATATCACACCCTGGCTGCGCCTCGATTTTCAGCCTAATTTCTCCTTACAATATCACCCCTGAATCACACATTAAGGTCACGACAATTAAGAAAATGATCATGCACCAACTAAAAAAGATTTTTGATTGTTAAACAAATTCTCCGTGTCAGCTCCTTAGGAAATGTATAGAGAACAGTACGGAGAATATGCATACTGATGTCAGGGTGTACAGGGTTAAGGCCAATACTACCCACAACCTTTTCCTTTTTGTATTCACAGAACGTCGAGAGAAGAGTTCGCTGGTTAACGTAGTCAAGCTTTTATATGTCTTTGAATTACTCGACACCTTGTTTGATATTTTGTTTTAGATGCGTGTTCTTTTTTTTATAACTGTGTTTCTTGAGAACTGGCGAATTGTAATGAGATTACATTCCCAAACCACGAAGATGAAGAATATGTTCCTATGTAAGTTCTAAGCAACAGTAAGGTGAAAAAAAATCGAGTAATGTGTAATTCATGCGAATTTTCGGAGAACCAGTGCAATACGTATTCATCTAAAACCAAATGAAATTCAGGCTGCAGTCCCCTGATTTCCTAGACCAGACTCTGGACGATTCACTCAGTTACATACTGGTGAGCAATCATTGTTATTGGACCCATAATCAGCACTAATGATAATGGATTTCACGGAGTTTTCGTCTCAGCAGAAAGCTTAACAACGCTATCCTGTCAACTACAGTTTTGAAACCCTCAAGTTATGTGTGCAAAGCAGTTTTGTAACACTAATGAGAACTTCTCAACATAACAAAGATATAAAAAACGTTTAAATGAAAGAATGGGCAAGGAAAAAGGGTAGCGGAAGGAAATTCGTATCATGCATTACCTTGGGAGATTCCATAAACGACATGATTACACACTGCAAAGCATTTTGCAAATTTTCAAATGGTGTTCTGTCTTGTGGAGTTGCACTGTCGTCATCCATAGGATGAAAATCCATTAAAATACTGCAACAGCAACAACAGAAAAAAAAATGTAGATGGCTGAATATAACCTTCGTTCCCCGCCCCAAAACGGAAATTCCGGCTTTTGAGCAAGAAGATTTGCCCTCAATAATAAGTGAGAAATTATCGTTTGAACAGAGATTATAACAAGTCTCCTAAAATCCTTGCAATTTAAAAATTCATTGCAGAAGGGAAGGCCTGAAACATTTACGCAGCAAGGATAACAAAAAAAGATGTTTAGGACGAAATTGTCGGAAAGTAGATGATTTGAAAAGAGGTCTTCGATAGGAAGGGCATCTAGGATAGTTTTGGCATTTCTGTTGAATAGTCTTCTTTGCTGATGTAAATTAGAAAGAAACTTATCATTAACAATACTGTTGGCAAGAGAACTAAAATAGTTCTTGCAGCTGTTTAGTATGAAGATGCATGTAAAGCTGCCAGCCATACTTTAGATCTTCTCTTGAAGTCCACTTTGGAAAATTTGATAAGTCCAGGTACGGAAGTCGCTTGATACAGGTTGGTCCAAAGACACCCAGTTCACTCTTGGGAAAATGGCATCTGAGCCTCTTTTTATCCTTTAAGAGTTGAACTTTAGATGTTCTCTCGTCCACGGGTGCAGCAAAATAAAGTTGTAGTGGTTTCCTTAGAGGTAATAATATGATGGTTATGACTGTTTACCTCGCTTTGAGTGTCAATAAGGGAGGTTTCATAAGAATGTTACAGACCTTTTTTGGGATTATGTAACATCCCCTCCCCTACGCCCTGGGGAGGGCCTCCCAATAAAGCCTCTTAATATCCTTTACGGACAGGTGTGACTAACTCTCAGAAACAGCGTCCTTGACGGACTGACTGTGAACTTGACTGGATTACTGACTGGCCGCCCGACTGACTGGCCAACACCTGAACGTGATTAGGAGTGGATAATTTAAGGAACATGCTCCTACATGAATCTCCAGGCCCACAACAGGAAACCATTATCAGATAGCTTTATCTTCGTGCGACTCACTTAATTTCATGGGAATTTTCAAGTGTAAATCACATTGATTTAGGTAGTTTTATTTACCCTTGGTTGTCGGTCGAGATTTCCACAATGGTGGGTGAATCTGTCGGATAATATTCTACTCTGGGACCAGTTATGTCCGCTGTTCTGAGAATCAGAATGTCTGCATTGTAACACATGGCGTGCTCTTCCAAAGCCAATAGCTGCGTAAAAATAATATAGTGATAGTAAACAAATACTGGTTACCTCAAATAGCTCTAAAAAGCAAAATAAAAGAAATAGATAGATTAAAGAAATGAATGAAAAATATGAACTTTCTACCTCAAGGTGATCCGTTTTTGAAATTTCTCGTGTCACCAATGTCACATCAAGTAGCCCCATGCCAAACAGTGTCACGCCATCGACTCGCTCCACGGTTGTCGATAGGAGATTGCTGTCACCGTCATCTTCGGTTGTGTGACCATCATTATGAATAATGACATCATCAGATTTTTTTGTCTGTAATGAAACGTCATCTTTTGACTGAAAATAAGGAGAGTCGATGCCTGATGGGAAGAGACTCAGAGGTGCTTTCTTCTGGCTCTTTTCAGTCACGAGGCAGTCCGTGCTCTTGTGCAAGTGACCAGGGTTTTGTATGATAACATCTTGACTGGAGAGGATTTCAAGACGATAGCAGCTGTCATACTTTTGGAGTCCGTTGCCCACGTGGCCACTGACGCAGCTTATTCTGACACAAGACAAATTGTTTTTTGACAGACGTGATTTGCGCATGCGTCTTTTTGCCTGACTTATCTCTGCCATCTCGTAATCAGTTTTGCTTTTCATGTTCACAGTTTCATTCGTGAAGCAGCAAGAATTGTTTATGGAGCCTCTCGTGTCAGGTTTCAATTTAACAGCTTGCGAAGTGCAGTTGACAGAAGAACTTATCAAAACGAGAACCGTCTCTTCATGAAGAGCTTTCCAATCCGCCTCAAGCATCAACAAGCTTACAGTTCCCTGGTCAACATCGTAGCGCACATTGTTGTAAAACAAATGCAC